CCCCCCCCCCCTCCCCCCCCCGTTGCTAACCTCACTCTCTCGCCTCCGCTCACAGCCTCCGCCGACAACCCCTAAGCAAGTCTAGCTGGCTAGTCTAGCCAGCCATCTAAATCCAAATTTTTTAGGATCCTCTACTTGGCCCAGAATTTCTCACTCACCTTGCGTGTCTTGTTAAAAACTAGGGTACCCATCCGGAGCAGCTTCTTCCGAGATGGTCACTGGTACTCTGAGAGATTTACAACGAGACCGCTTGTACTGCTCTTCTGTTTCCTTCCAGGAATCTCTTGAATTAGAATCAACAAAATATAACCGGACACTCTCGATACGTAGACACAGTCTGGGCCCCTTATGTTCCTCGATACCTCATTTTCATACAGAGACCCGGTAAGGAGGAATATATCGATAAACGTTCCACGACTCCTCGAAGAATCTTCACGAAGACATAAACCTCTTCCACTACGATAGTTTCAGTTTTCAGAAGAAGATTCCGCACGCCTTTCAACTTTCCAAACTCATTGTACCCGGGGACCTGGATTCTGTTTGCTCGGGCCTTGTTCCCGCATTAGTCTCGCTACACCCTCCTCCTTTGTCTTAACGAAAAAGAGATCGGACGCAAGGAGCAGAGCCGATGGAAATGAAAGAGAAAGAAAAAAAAAAAAGAAAAATGGTATTACCAAGACGAGCAAGTCGAAGAAGAATATCGACAGGAAAGAATAAACTAAAGGGTGACCGGACTAGCTCTTGGCTCTTCTAAGTTCCACAAGGTCCAGGATCCCCTGGACCCATAGAGAAGGCAAGCTCCCGGAGCCAATACTGTATCCTTCCAGGCCCATAACTTTGGCAATCAGATAACGGACCCATTAGTTTCGTTTCCCAAGTCCCAGCAATTTCTCTCGCCGAAGAAACGTCAGCACGCGCGATTGTCCAACCGTGCGAACCACCACCTCCGAGCATCAGGCCCATCGTATCACGTTCCAAATCAGTGAATAACGATCCCTCAGAAATTTCACCAATCATTTTCACCTGGAATCCCAAAAAAAAAATCTTGCTTCCTTCGAAACAAAAATTCATATAAAAAACTACCAAGATCCAACCTACCCTACGATCTCCTCCAACTCGTTCCATGCTCCCCACGCATGGTCAACCTGCCTAACCCGCCTAACCTGCGTACGTTGCGTAGCCCCTTGATCCACCTAGAGCGAAGTACCCACGCACGCGATTCCCGTGTCTCTCGTTTCAAAAGCAGCCTCCAAGAGTACTCTTACACGTTACGCTCTCGATCGATCACACCCTTGGACCGTACTCCGGATCATCAATATACGCAACGTGGAACGATGCAATTCCCGCGAGAGAGAGATATTACATGTACCAAGAGAATGAAGCCAACGTGGAGGGACCAGGGGCAACAGGTGGTCCAAGTTTCTGGAGTATGCTCCAGGCTCGTAAAACATCTCCTTGGCATCCTCGCTTCCTCGCTTCCTCGCATCCACGTATCATCGCTCGTCCTCCTGCCGGACCAAATGCCGAGCGGCTTCTACGCACGAAAGAGTCTCCCATACATGCACGCACACGTGCGCCTTATAGCGCAGAAGGTAACGAGCTCCCTAGAATTCAAGGTTCCTCGTCTCTACGCTACACTCGATTACCTCATTCTCATCTCGATCCTCTCATCCTTAAGGCCACCTCGGTCCGTACTACAACCTAACCTCTAACGTAAGCTCTACCGATTCCTGGGAATGCATTTGACCCAACCACCTGCTGTTAGCAGAACGGACCCCGTTCCTGGTCTCTCGATCCTCGCCAAACAATAAGACGCACTCTAACCTCTTACGACATCGCAATAGCCCCGTTCGAAAGGTGTAACAAGCGGAAGTGCAACTTACGAGAACGAAGGAGACGCGAGCAGATGGGGAAAATGAAAAAAAAAAATTTATTTTTTGAAATCATTTTTTTTTTAATAACGACACTATACGCGCATCACGTACTCCCTCTATCTAAATGCATACGTATACGTATATTCTGGGGATCCTATCGGAAAGTAATTACCCCACGGTGTAATTAATCAAATTCCACGTAGGGATGACGCGACGAAATGGAATCGGCCTTTGGGCCTCGGAGTCCATTAGCGAAAGAGGCGTTAGCGGATCGTCAAGTTCGCATTAGCTTATTCGCGAATCGTGAATCGTGATTCGCCGATCCTGAATCGTGACACTCGAGCCTCGAATATCTTCTTTGATCTTCAAGTGAATCGAACGGAAGAGCCATTTCGTTTCTGTCGTGTATATCCGCCTTTATAGTGTAATTCTTCATTCAAGTTTATATGGTATAATAATTCTTCGAGAACTGGAAGACGCTAACGAGGATTCGCAAAATGGAATAGAAAGGTGGCGACCGTCATGTGAAACGTTCGTTTGAATTTTAATATATATATATATATAATACTTACATGCACTGTACCAAGTGCATTGGAAAGTGCACTCGGTGCATACAACCTCGTTTCTCCCTGATCGAATGCATCTACCTACTTATACTATATGCCTCTATACTGTATACCTATATGTAATCCATATAACGTACAAGCATCTATCCGGAGTTCAGCTACAACTGCAACCACAACAACAGCAGCGACTGCAGCTACTGCCAATCGAATATACAGAGATCGTCCAGCCGAGTGAATGCAGGCACGAACGCTTTCTCCGTCAGGATTCAGGTCTGATTCTCACGTGGACTGCGTACCGGGATTCTTGGAAATGAGATATCCCGATTTTAACATGAGGATAGAGATCACTTGATAGAATAAATATATTTATCCAGCTTCCGATAAGGGTAGAACAAAAGTAAATGCTGATTAGACGAAATTGAAATGATCTTGTTGATTTTACTTACGGTCAATAATTTTAATTGGAAAGAGTCACTCTTAAAGGTTAGGGCCTGAGCTTTACTGTATGGTCCATAGGACTATCTGACTTGACTCTAGTCGTAACTTCACAGCATCCCTATAATCATAGCTCCGGGCAAGATCGAGCAATCACGTACGCTGAATTTTTCTTAAGTCTACCTGCATACTCGTTGCACTTTATGTGCAGTTCTTCTTAACGGTCTTACGGAGCCAGTATGACTTTGGCGAACTAGCATAACTCTAGACCTGGTTTACTCGCCGTCAATTTTTAGCTCGTGTAATCATGGCTTTATCGTGGGTAAAATTAAAAGTTCACGCTGCACGTGGTTCCGGGGCCCTGCCCATGACTCGTACGAAGGAGCGAACAGGGCCGTGGGTACTTGGGTTGGATTTTATCGTGTAAATTTATTTTAGCCCCGCTATCCGGGACAAATGAGATTATTATTTCTTACCGGCGAGTTATCTGGTAATTAATAGAGTCAGGTCGGAGAATAAAGGTTTGGCTGAAAAATTGGACCTTGGAAACCAGTCGAACTGGGTCCGAGTTGGACGCTCGGGACTTGAGCGATGTCAGAGAGTGGCTAACCTGCTCGAGAAAGCTTCTACCCGGTGTCCGGATGAGACCGGCGGAGTTAGGGGGTGTTGGGGTAAGGCAGAGGCAGAGGAGGTTACGTGGGGAATAAGGAGGACGAGAGGGCGGAGTGGGTAGACAGCGAAGGGCTAAGGTAGGTAGGACCAACGAAAAATCTGTAATTATAATAATTATAGCCGCGTGGACAACAATTATAAATCACCATTGAACTAGGCACTGAAACGCCAATAAAATATTGTACTTGCTGAGCCATTAACATCTGTATACACCAGTTGGAGGTACGTGTGGGGCCCACCACCCGATTGAAAAATGTACTCATTTATTCTCTCAATTTCCATCGGCATTCGGCGAACCCCTTCGGCCGACTCTCAATGCCGGATGACAATCTAAAAAGAGAAAAGGGACTGGTTCCCTCTCTCTCTCTCTCTCTCTCTCTCCTCTTCTCTCTTATTCGCCACTCTTCTTTTCTTCCTCGCTCTTTACCCCCTTTCTCGGGCCCCACTTCGCTCAACGTTATGAATGACAGCCGCTCTGTCAGTGCGGCGCAACTACCACGCGGACCCACCCTACTTTGCCGAAGAGCCCAAAAGTCAGATTTCCTTTTGATATCTTAGAGACGATCGTCGTCAGAGAAACGTATCTCCGTTGGAGAACGAGGACTGGTGCTGTTTTATCGTAAGAGTGATACGAGGGTGGAATGATAAATTGTCATAGAGACTCACCTTGATGAAGCAGCGTCCTACTGGAAGATCCTCGGGAACGGTGGCGTTGTAGAGCGGCTTCTCGAATATGGGCTCGTTTTCATTATTGTCATAAACTGTCACTTGCACTGTAGCACTACTGCTGAGAGGAGGATGACCGGAATCCGTAGCGACGACGACGAGCGTCGGCGTCGGATTGGTCTCGCAGTCCACGTGGGCGATGGTCGTTATGCGACCTGTGACCTCGTCGATGGTGAACCACGTGGAATTCTTGAGGGAATACTTTATAACGGAATTAGCACCTTCGTCTAGGTCAGTCGCAGTGACGTTGACGACCGACGTTCCAGGCTCAGAAGCTTCAAGGAGATGACCTTCGTACCGGTCCTGCTCAAATTTCGGAGCATTGTCGTTAACGTCGGTCACCAGGAGTTTGAAGGTCCTGGCTGCTCTGAGAGGAGGCGTCCCGGCGTCCGTAGCTTCCACTGACAACTCGTAGACGGGTTTCTCCTCCCGGTCCAGAGGACGCTCGACGACCACTAGATAGATTATGTTATCCCGGGTGGCTAGACCGAAGTGCCCGTCGCCACCCGTAAGCGTAACCGTAGCGTTTGAATACTCGGTCCTAGAGTCCGGGTCACTCACGGATATCCTCGCGACGAATTCACCAGGTTGAGCACTCTCGGATATCTTGGGCGTCGCGTCGTCCGATAAGAATATCACTGTGATTGCCGGCTGATTGTCATTAACGTCCGTCACTCTTACCGAAAGAAAGGCACTCGCCTCCAGAGGCTGAGCACCTCTGTCCCTGGCCACCACGACCAACTCGTGTCTCTCCTTCGATTCAAAGTCTAGCGGCTTATTCACATACACCATCCCGGTCTCAGGGTCGATCCGGAACATCTCCTCGCGATCCGATTGTCTCCTGTTTATGGAGTATTCGATCTTCCCGTTCTCCCCGGCGTCGGCGTCGCTGGCGTTCACTGCCAGCACCGCAGTGCCTACGGTTGCGTTTTCAGGAACACTCGCGGAGTACCGAGTCTGATTGAAGATCGGTGGATTGTCATTGACGTCCTGGACCGTGACGTTTACGTGGAGTCTGGAGCGCAACGGTGGAGCGCCGCCGTCGAGGGCCTCTATTATGAGGTTGTAATTAGACCTTGCCTCTCTGTCCAGAGACCCAGAGTTCTGTAGGTCCAGATAGAGGACGCCGTCGCGTCCCCTGTGAGGTGCCAGTCTGAAGACGTCCCCCACGTTCCCTGCGACGATCTCGTACCTCTGCGTCGAGTAGGGGCCCAGATCCGGGTCCTTGGCCGGCGGCAGAGCGCGCTTCGCGTCGCGCGGTGAATTCTCAGGAAATTCCACGTCCACGTGCTCGACCGGAAACGTCGGCGCGTTGTCGTTCTCGTCGAGGACCTTCACGACGACCCGGACGTTCTGGGGCAGAGCCACTAGGCTGTAAGAAGCTCTGGTCTCCCGATCTAGGGGTACTCTGGTCCTTATCTCTCCAGTCGACTGATCGACTATCAGATCTGCGTCTACAGCCGACCCTGGCACCGACACTATCAGATACGGCGGACTATCCGCATCGATGAAACCCACCCGGGTCCCGGGTGGCGCGTTCTCCGAAACCTCGAGGGTCTGCACCAGGTCCGATCCCATACCTGGGGCGAGCGTCGCGCCCAGGACGAGGGCGAATAACAGCGCCCTTACCGAGCGCATCCTGGGACCTCAGGAAAGTACTATCTCGAGGTCTCCATTCCTAATCACGCGCACGTCTAGAGGACTAGGTGTCTAGATGCCACCCGGGTATGCGAGACTCTCGAAGGAGAGGTATCTCCGGGATCCCGAGTGCAAAAGGCAGGGAAACGTTCCTTAGGATTGTCCTGATTATCAGGTGCCTGGTTATACTTGATCCTCAATGTGGCATAAACCGATCGCCACTCTTCCTTTATTTTCCTCTAGAGTCCGTGGATTCCTCGTGATCCCGATACGTATTCCTGATTTCACAATTGTTACCACGATACTCGACGAGATTACTTTCCAGACCTCATTCTGATTATCCGACACGTATCGTTTTCTCTTCCTTTTCTTCTTGTTCTCCGGCACTAGAGGATTCACCAGCACCACGAGCACCGCCAGCACTACCACAACCGCCAGCACGAACACGAGCAGCACAACAATAACAACAACAGGAACAACAAGCACAACCAACACTACAACCACCACCCACACAAGAGCCACCTCCTTTTTTCTCCGGCGTACTTCAATTATCTCTTTTTCCCTTTTACTCTCGATCTTATCTCAACCTCCCATCCATCATTTCTCACGCCAAATTCAGCCTAAACTAGGAGCATATATCGCCACCTCCCTTCGCGGCTCTTACATTCCATCCTCCTTCATTCTGTCTTCTAAATCTTTCGATCCTTCTGTCCTCCCCCTCGCCTCCTCCTCCTCCTCCTCCGTCTCCTCCACCGCCACTTCTTCGGCTCGCACCTCCCCTTCGTACACGACTACGTACTATCACCTCCCTCAATACGTAGCATCTACTATCTACACCGGCACTGAATATCTCTTCCATATACGACGCACGAGGACGATTTACTCTCCCGTAGTAGCAGCAGCAGCAGCGACCGGCCGCAGCATCGGCAACAGAAATAGCAGCAGCAACAGCACACCGGTCACAAGGGGCCGGCGACCGCCGGGCCTTTCGAGACGCACTCGCGCACCTCCCTGGCCGCCACCTCGGTCGTCCTCACCTCCATCTTCCTTCCCGTCATCCTGACGATCATTTACTCTCTTCTCTTCTTCTTTTTACTCTCCTCTCTCTCTCTCTCTCTCTCTCTCTCTCTCACACACACACACACTCACTCTCTCTCCCTCCCTCCTCTATCTCTTTCTCTCTCACTCTCAACGCCTTTCGAAATACTCTTCCGAGTAATCGCGCCTGCTATTCCCTCAAGAGACCAGGGACTAGCTCACAACTTGACTCCGAATCTCTTCACCTGGTGCAGAGTTTAGATTACCGGTTCTAGAATTGCATCTACCTGCCTTCCCGATATCCCTCTGGAAGCGCAGCGTGGTATCCTCTCCCTGGAATAACTCTAGACACTCGGTGCACTGAGAGAGAACTCGCGCTCTCCAAACTCCATCCGAGGAGGAGACGGTCCAGCGCACTTCGTACGGTCAATCTATATAGTATATACAGTGCACATATCTATATCTATATCCATATATACATACGCATACATATGGGTATATAGACAGATAGAATATATATATCTACATCAGGTTAATATTCCCCTCACAAACTTTCGGCAGGAACTTTACGCGGTCGCGCGACTATCTCAACAGACAGACCGGGATCTGCTTCCTTCCAAAGGAACACTTCGGTTGCGGCCGTTCCGGACAGCCGTGAACGTGACTCTCGCACGATTTCGCGGTACCAGCGTCCGTTCCGCGCGGCTACGAGGTTAGGCATGCACTGACATGGCGGCACCTGCAAGGCCTACCCTTCCCCTGGTTCGCCTGACTCGCTTGGCTCGGTCAGGGGGACCCACTACCTGGCGGCCATCTTGGAGAGGGGAGCACTCCTGGGCCTCCCTGTCCCCCACCCCCCGACATTCAACTCTCCGGCTGTGGTGCACCCAGACTATACCTTCTTACCTACCTGACTTAGGTATGCAGGAACTGACTTACCGGCAGAGTTCCTACAGCACGAATCGCGGATCTCCGCACTGGCATCTACCCCGAGACTCCTGGACTGTAGTTTTACTCTATTACACTCGCGTCCCTTTACGGTGATCTTGATCATCGTTAATAACTCGTGCATCCATATTCATCGATACTCAAGGATTCCTCAAATCGGATCGATCATCCGAGCAACAGGGCTCTTTTGAAAGTGCAACCCGAATCTGTCAATAAGTCATCGCCTGGACTGAGGTTATGTTCGCGAGCCAGGATACTAGCTTGGCATCTCCTTCCCATCTCCTCCGCGCTCTCTCTCTCTCTCTCTCTCTCTCTCTTTCTCTCTCTATCTGGCGGCTCTCTAGACTCTCGTGGAGGGTCGAGGACCTACCTGACTCTACGAGTAGGCAGATAAATCTACCTCTACCACCTACTAGCTACCTGAATGGACAATGCACGCGAGCGAAACGTGCATTATTCCTATTTGGAGGGTCGCGGGAGTTTCTGCACTTTTTACAGGTGCAATTCAGCTCGTACCGCTTGCGTGATTCATCGCAATGAAATTATGAGGTATGTGCTTCTTGGTTATGTGTGAGTAGGGAATTTTGACTGTTCGTTTCTGCTTGAAAAAAAATGTAATGGATGCTAGGTTAAATAACTTGACTGGGTAAAAAGTGGAAAATACCCCACTGAAGGCGCGATCTGCAAAGGATCTAAGGGGTATACGTGTGCGCCCTTCGAATGCAAGAAGTTACGATGTTAGTTTTCTAGGAGTTTATTTATAGGCCCGGTGCAAGGTCTTACTCGCATTTACGTTTTTGCTTGGTTATTACAGCCCGGACTGCTTCTCTTGACTTGAGCAGTGCTTTTCAATCGACTTTGACTTTGCGCCATTTGAATTCATATGATTGTGCCTTTATCTTGTTCTGGAATACTCGGCGATCTTTCGAATATTCGTATCTCTGAAATCTTTAATGGTAAGATGATCGAGGAATCTTGACCTTGAATTCTCGGGTCTCAAATGGTACAGCGGAGTGATGCTGTGTTTAGGAATATGGTGGATTTGGGAATAGACTTTTTTTACTTTTCAGGAGTTGATTTTTAAGAAACGATAGGTTTACGTAAGTTGATTAGATTTTCGCAATTATTATTATTCATTGGAAAGTTAAAATTCTGATAAGAACACCGTTCAATTTCAGACACTATGGCTGTAATACAAAGACAATTGATACTTGGGTAGGATAGAAAATACGCCGGAAATGAAAGACCCTTTTTTTTAAGGTTCTTCGAAAGGACACGAGCCAATTTCGAAAGATGGTCGCGTCACCGCAAAAATTACAGACTCCAGGGTCAGGATAGGTAGTTGTGAACTCCCTCGGGTTACGAGAAAAGAGAAGCGATAATGCACTTCGAACCATTTCGCTCAGCATTAATGGGCCAGGACGATTGCCACTCGTTCGAGACCACCTACGCCCCAATTGGAGAACACTGTATCTCTAAAGTTCTGGCATTTTCTTAGAAGGATTCGTAAACGAAACAATTTCGCCCAAGGATTGTAGTAAATTGTTGCTGAGAATTTCGTTGATTTGAGAGAAAAAAGATGCAGTGCACGCATGCACTTCGTGAAATTGGACCCGCGACGACTGGCACCTATCGCGTGCCGGCTTTCAGCCTAGAGCGATGAGGCCCAGGAATACCGTGGTTTGATCTAGTTATTTTAGGTAGAAAAAGGACATGAAAAAAAGTCTTGGTAGTTCAAGAAGTTAAAAAATAGTAGAACGAGATGCGGTTAATGGCGGAATCGATACTGTTGCTAATAAAATTGAGAGTAAATATAACATTGACGATTGAAAGGCTGGATGAAAAACTGAGAATGGAATGGGAACGGAATGGAACGGAACGGGTGGCAATGGGCCATTGAAAATTAGGTATTGGTGGGGGTGATGGGACTAAGGGACTCAGGGACCAGCCGCATAATGACAGGGTGCCCTGCGCCAAGGCCCGCTAACGAACCGGCTCGGATCCCAGCGGCCTGGCTAGGAGACGACACTGTATTATTTTACCATTTCGGAGGTCGGGGCATCATCAGAAATCATCGCCGAATCCATATAATCAGTAGACGGTTACGTGCGACCATGATTTTAAGAGGGGCCCCCTAATAAGGCCGACTCTGGTACTTGGGTCTTTCGTAAGCGTCGACTTGATAAAAATTAGACTCATTGCGGCACTAATGACGCGGATGCGATAAAAACTTATGACGATGAACGTTACTTTTCTTACCATTTGTATTTCACTTTCCCACCATTTTTACCGATCCTTCAAATGTCTATCCTGTCTGGAAATACATTGAGTCCTTGTTGGTCTTACGGAGGCCTGTGAGTTAAAATACTGTGGAGCTCTACTGTTCCTAAGGACGAACATTTTTCTTCTGTTCCTTTTCCTAAATTTCTTTCTTTCTTTAGACTTTCTGTATTCTCCTGGTCCTTTTTTACCTTTACTTTGTCTGCTCCTGGCAACTCTAGCCGAACAGGACATCCCAGCATCCCACTGAAATCCCACGGGACAGCATTCGAAGTGGAGACCGATACGTAACCAGTGCTGACACTGCGACACGCGTTATCTTGGTAATTAGGGACTTTCCTTGGTCAAGGAATCGATTCTGGAGCCTCGAACTGGTTTCAGGATTCTAAGGTCCGTGTCAACAGTTGGGTCTAGAGATAACTATTGATGAAATGGCCAGACCCTTATTCTATTCTGTCTTTCCAATCTACCATGATGTGGGACCAAGACCTTTATTTCTCTTCTCGTTGGTCACATCCATTCATTCAATTATTTGTACAAGAGATCAGATAAAAAATCAATTTCAGGTGTTACTTCAAAATATCTTATTATAAAGTTGATGGTATTAATAATAGCTTAAATGAATTATATATTTAACGGTATATTGGGCCAGTATTGCGGTTTCGCTTTATCCTTATGTCGATCAAGTGTAGCTTGTAAAGCCGTCTCCATCGCCAGAATGCCGGCACTCGCGTCTCCATATAAAAGTTTTGCCCCCTCTGTTCTAGCCTTGGTCCACGCCGCACCCCCTTCCAGACGAGCATTATCTCCAGGTACTTTATCTTTCTCGTTGCTCTTCCTCTCAGACTCTTTCGCTCGTTTCAATTCCATTTTGTGTCTCATACTCTGTTCTAAGAAATTCAACATATCCTCGTCCACCTGGAACTCCAAACTCTCGTCTTCATCGTCTTCCTCCGCATCGTCGTCCTCGTTCTCTTCTTCTTGCAAATGATTGTTCATAGGTTCGCGATGATCCGTCTTGGACGTATCCTGAAGATTAGAAGCACTTGCTAAACTTCGTACAGTTGCTCTTAAAACATCGTTTTCATGTTCCAGAGCGTAACAACGCGATCTCCACCACGCGATGTTGTGCCTTCAAATATAAAATACGATTTAAAAATATATTGTCAGAATGCTCAACGGTTCCTTACAGTTTTCCTAAGAGGGCGTACCTTTTCTGCCATTCCTGGGCAGCTGCATAATTCTCCCAAAACGCGTCAGCACTCAACGACTCGTTAAACAGTCTATCCATCGCAGGATTAACACGAAAAATATTTCTCTCTACGGTCACTTTGCGACGTTTCGCAGACCTAACCTCTAATCTAGCCTGACGCCTATTCTTCCCGTGTCTCTTACGCTTTCGATTCCTCGAACGTTTCTGAGCACTCACGTCCATATCTCTCGAGGCTTCACAGAAGCCTCAAGGATTTCCTAGTAATGTCTTTCAATACGCTTCATCATCTCCATAAATGTCTTCAAGAACATCTCTACATCACCTGAATTAGTCTCATTATACGAGGCACTGAACACTAGCAACAACATTCAACACTACACTTTATTTGCGCATCAATTGGGTACCATTTACTGCAGGCTGAATTTCAGTCGATAATATCGCTTTACTGTACTACCAGTCGAGGAGCGTTATTCAGAAATTATTAGACATGGAAGATTGAATGAAACTTTTATTAGAAATATACAGCATTATTGTGATCTTTATATAATTACGATACTTTATACAAATCTAGAAAGACATAAGACATACTACAAACCATTTGTGTGTAACTTTCAGCGAACTTTGACATAAGACGTCAATATGTTTGTCGTACCTGAGGCTCGTGGGCCTGCTGTTACCGATGTGAATACATTTTCATTTTCCGTTTATTTTCTTTTATCAAAAAGAAAATATCGCCTCTATCATTCGTTTTACGCTTTATAAATATTTAAAAATTCAAATGTAATAATTATCATGTCGACTAGTACTCGAAGTGTGCATTCTATGGCGCGCAGTAACTACTCAAATTTGAACGTGCTTCGTTTTTACTTTAACGTTCAACAGAAATTTCTCGCAGAGTTACGAGATGCCATTTCGTAGAGACGGATGCAACCCGTTCAGGTAAATCGAGCAATATTTTTATTTTATGAAAACCTTGAAAATGGTCTCGATTTTTGACCCTGGTTGCTTATCAATGCATTTCTTACAACGAAGGACCAGTCTTGACCTCATATATACGAGACGCTTAAACCACGCTCGTATGAGACTTCGTTGTTTCCAAATTTCACATTTTCACTCTTGTCACTGTCTCTTCGGATCCCGTTGCTATTCTCCCCGTTTGCATGTGCGCCTGCGCAGGCCGACTCATCCTCTAAATCGCTCGCCGGCGTCTTGTTCAGAGGTTCAAGTCCAATTATCACTCGGACACTGTCAGGAAGTTGAGATTCTACCGCCATCAGCTGATGATAGATTCCTTCCGCCTTGGAAAGCGTCCAAGGAAGCTCTATGTGTAGCGACAAATCATTGATGTGCTGAGAAATGATTAATATCATTTAGAATTCTTATACAGTGACTTACAATTGCTAATGTAATTGAAAAAATACCTTTAGGATCTCAGTAAATCCATAACGATTCTCCATTAGCATTGTTTTTTCAGTGTCCAGAATAGCTGCACAGACCAACAAATGGAAATTCTTACAGGGTAAATCTGTCCACAGTATTTCCCAGAGTTTCATAATATCGATAGAATTAAATTCTCGTTTGAAAAGGACCAACAGCCACCGGAAGCAAAAGAACATATTTCCAGAATCGTTCTTGTATAAATAATTGAATAATTGAGGCTCCGTTACTGATAGTAAAGCATTCAGCTGGCACAGCTGCGCCTTCATGCCAGCTTGATCCATCTCGAAATTCGTGCTCTAGAATGTAATGATTTCTGTGTATCTGAATCGTTTAAATATTACCAGAAACCTGATATAATTAATTACCACTTTATTCATGAATCCAACAAAGCACCAAAAGGCATCAACTTCACTGTCCATTAAACACAAAATTGGACTGAGCAGATCACTCATGCCTTGTACATAACCGAGATCAAAGTTGTACATGACGTAAGTCATCAGTATGTCATAAAGCTGTGCTAGATGTGGATTGTTATCACCCGCATAATACACACGAGTTCTGTCCGTTCTGTTAACATCTTTTTCTGAAAAAGTCATTGAAATTGTCAAGAGATTATCAAGCCAAAATAATTATATAAAATAAACCATAAGAAGAAAAAGCCACCTACCTATAAGACTCTTTCTATCTCGATAATCAGAAAATCTGTTTTCCTGAGCAGGGGTCATCGATCTCCATTGTAATTTCATCATAAAGTATTCGTCAGTCTTCTTTTTCCTCAGTTCTATTCTCTCTGCGGTCGTAGAGTTCCAAGGATAGTAATTCAACAGAAACTTCCATACCTCGAACCTCAATGACGCACAAATACCCTGTTTAATTTATATTTATAGAACACAGGGACATTAAATAATAACATTTATATAATACGGTAACAATTATTAAAATGTATACTAACCCCCCTGAATATTATCTCCCTCACAGCCTTGGGATTCGTCACTCTACCCTCAGGATCTTTAAATCTGTCCCACTGTTCTTGCGACAATGGTGCACCTAGTGAAATGACTTCATTAAAAGAATTCTTACTACTGTAGTTCGAGCTCGCAACGTATAATTCGTAATTTAGACCATTACCACGTGGACACGGAGGTCTTGGCGGGAGGACTACAGATGATCCTGCATCTCCAATCACTTCGTATTCCTCTCCAGAACTCACCGAGACTGGCGGATGTGGCACATCTATAGTGAGTGACCTGTTCAGAAGGTCTGCAACCGCCTCCTCAACCGGACGCTTTACTGGCTCTTTATAAACTGAAAATTGACGCCCTTCTGACATTCTGCCCTCACGCCCATTTGCTTTCAAATCGATTCGCCAAAGTCAAGGCCGCTCTTGCCGACTTACGCCAAATATCTGCCAGCTTGCTGAACGCCTCTAGAGTCGTCTCGTACGGACGGTTGTGCAGATTCCTTACGAATTTCCAAACGTAATCCGAAGTATTCTCTTGAAACAGATCTAAGTGGGAGAACGAGTTCTCAAGCACAGGATTGAACTCATCCATCACATGATAAAAATTCTTATCCACCCGTGACCTTTTGAGCTTCATGAAAGCTTTCATAGAATTGACAAAATTTTCTGCATTGGACAATTGGAAAAAGGCCACATAGGTTGTTCCATCCTTTTGCATCAATATGAGTTGTTGTCCGCCATGGTGAACTCGAAAAGACTTTAAATCAGTGAGCATGATTCTTACAGTCCTCGCACGTCCTAGGGAATCTGGTCCTTCTGAAGATGTCCTTGTCCGTCTTGTGTGAGAATCTACCAAAGACCATTCCGGATCCTGATCCTGGTTCTCTGATACCACAGACACCTCAACCGGCTTCCATTCTATGCACTTTCCATAACTCTGCAAGAAAAATAATAAATTGCTTAAACATTCTTTGTTTCACTACACCCTAAATAATACACCAATACATTGTTTCCTTACATATTCCACAATATTGAGTGTTCCCGTGCTTTGTGCATCATCTTCTCTGGTATTCGCACCTCGGAGTACAACACCCCCATGGGTGAAGACATCCTACAACGGACAAACGAAAGAAAAATACTATGCAGTCCCAAGGAATCCCCCTAAATCAACCATCTTATTGCGTCTAACTTAAAATCTAAGAGCAATTATCCTACAAAATCCATTTCATAAACAGAGCACAGTCAAAGCAGAGTAAAACCGAAACAATTGATATCACAAGATCAATTTGACATTGTAGCAATGCAAAGATTATAAATTGTGCATTGTTGTTGACACATAAAGCATGTGGGCGGATGTTTGGTATGTACGTCATTCAGAGTAGCAATCGAAGTGGTCCCACCTCAATCCTGCAGACTTGAACAACGTAGCCAAGACGCAATAAGCTGCATAATACTAATAAAATTCAACTATGACCCAGTACCAGTGACTTTTTCTAACCAGTCTTACCTTTCCTTGCTCCGTCGGCTCGAACATTTTCTTGTTCCACTTCTCAATGAAATCTGCGTTTTCACACAAAACTTTAACAAACGCAGACTTCGGACGACCTCAACGCCACCTACAACTTTCTATATTTCATGCTCTTATGCGTTAATCTGCAAAACTTATCCTGATCCGGTTCTATTCGGCAGAGATCAGTAGGGAGATGCACAACGCTACGGTTTTAGGCGATACCAAAAACATGGCGCTAGATCGTAGCGGCGAGTCCGGGAATAAAATTTTGTGATCATCGCCTCCGTCGATAATGCATATCCCGTCGTAGCCGAGCTGAACGTGATCACGAACGGGTAACCTGGCGGGCAGAGATTCTCCACAATTTACAACTGACCCCAGAGCAACCCTTAGAAAGAGGCCGCTTATCAGATATTGCCGAAATCTTTTTTTTTTGTAATCTTAAATTTAAATATACAGTGTAAGCTCGACAAGATTTACTAAGTCAAAAGCCAGCACCTTATGCCTGCCTGTGTTAAGGAGTGCAGCGATGCGGTGCTAGCTTCCATCATTATTTAACAATAGTTCCAAGCGGAACTATGGTCCCAACATTGAGTACTAGAGAGAATTATTCCGGAACTGTTTGAAACACAACCTGAAAACAACACTGAAAGCCAGCTCCTTATGCATACCTGCACTGAAGCATATGGTGCGACTAGTATCCTTAATAGGTATTTTAACGATGTTACGTAGCAGAACTGTTGTTAAAACCTATCTGGAACTATAGAACTCCTCGAGAGCTATTGAAAAAGCCTATTGTTGAATCATTTTCAAGAGATTTTAAAAAAGTGCAGTGCTGGAGCTGACACCCATGTAGCACCTCAATTTTTGGAAAATTCCTATTTTAACGATGTTACGTAGCAGAACTATTGTTAAAACCTATCGGGAACTATAGAAATTTTAGTTAAGTGCAGAGCATGTACAACGCTCAGACACCAATTTTTGAAGTTCTTCAAGAAAGTATCGTTTGTACCTCTTTCCAATCAGTCCCCTTCGAAAGAGTATAGTCTCTAGTATATCTCCACTGCGTTCCATCGTTTGTACCTTCATAGTTTTCTTTTAAATTCAATATTAGTGCGTAGCAGGTACAGGGTCTAGACACCATTTTTGTGAGTTTTTCAAAACATTTATAGGTAGTATAGTTATAAGTTAAAGGTAGTATAGTTATAGGTAGTAGAAAAAGTGTAATAATCCGTATGCGTGCGAGAGAGAGGTACTTAGAGCCCTGCTGTGCTAATGAAACGTACGCTTTAGGGCATTACAGGGTGCGTCAACGATATCCTGAAATGCGAAGAATTGCCGTGCACCGATCAGCCTGCATCGTCACTCCAGACCATCATTGACGAAACCTGTACGAGTTGTAATTGACAAACCTGTCGTAGGGGGGCATCACTTTTGCCAAGGAGTAATCGAGCGGGGGGAGGGGGTACCCATTGGTATACAAAGAATGTATTATTGGTGCAGAGGTCAGTCTTTCGAGAGCCGTTCTCTTGGAAA